GTTTAATTTTTTTTTAGTAAATGAAGCACTGTTCATTTTGAGAGGGGTAATGCCATCACTGACAGCCACAAGTTTAGTCATTTTGTGCTCAAATATTTGCAAATCACGGGGGAAAAAAACAGAGAACTTCTCAAAACAAAAGCTTATATGTTGCCATTTCTAAAAATCAAACAAAAATCAATTGCAATATCTTAGCATTCATTTGCTAGTTGATAACAGACTAGTAGTGTGTATTTGAATTCCAGGAAAGGTTGCAGTTTCAAGTCTCGAAGGGGTTTTTCTATAAACCACAGAGTAGTAGTAATTTTAAAATTAGGAAAAATACCTGAAAAGTGTTATTTAGTTACATATTTTTAAAAAGAATTACAGGTTGAGAAATGTCAGAACCCAGTTAGTGGGAACCATCAACACCCAGTAAATATGATGCTAATAACGAGAAACAGACAGACAGGGACTTGTTACAACAGGTTAATATAGATGCGGGGTAGACTATCTGTTAATACTGTGGGCTCAAAGCAACATGCCTCACTTTTAGGAAACATACCAGCAGAAATAACTAGTGTATTATACTGTGGTTGCTTAGAGATGATTTAACGAGTTCCTGAGAACGGGCCATTAGCTAGCATTTGCTTTTGCTATTAAAGCTGGATACTGTTTTCACCCCTTTTCTCGTCTCCCGCAGCTGAGCACCTGTCTTTGTTTGGGAGTGACATCTATTTCTTTTTTCCACCAGGAATTCGGTGCATTTTTAGGCTTGAGTGGCTTAGGAGCAAACCAGCTGTGAAATTGTTTCTTGAGATACTGCCCTCTTCATAACATTTGCGCAAGACCTTAATAAAAGAAATGGCCTGTGCCCTCCCTGTCCCTGGCCAATTGCACCCATGAAATATATTTCAGTAATGCAATTTTTTTGGGGCTGTTGAAACAATTGCCGCTATAACTGTAAAACACAACTAGATTGCTTCTAAACTACTTTCGAAAAGTAAGTGCTCGCAAGAGAGTCAGTTCTCAAAATACTTTTATCCTTGGAAGACAGAGGAAAATCACATTGAGTTAAAAATAATTTCAAAACTGTATAATTTATAGCACATTGACTTAAGTTAATTGCAGCATTAATGTACCAGTTAAAAAAATTTCACCAATAGGGAACCAATGAAGTGTATTGTGGTCAAACAATTAATGCAATTCCTATTGTCTGTAACAGGAAATTAGCTTGATACACTTACATTTTAAATACCAAGGATCCATGTAAGCATTCTCTGAAAATGCAGCTCTACTTATTCATTCAACTTTGAAAAAAGGACATCTTATGTGATGTACCTGGAATTTCATTTATACCAGATGGTGTGGGGATTAGACAATTAGTATTTCAGCTCTTTACTACTCTTCATAAAGAAATGAAACAGTGAAATGTGCTGAAGTTAGGATTCCAGATTTTAAAC